TCTATTTCCCACAATTTGATCCTTACCTGTTTCAATCCACCCAGCTTCTGGTAACCTGATCTTCTAATCAAATTTGGTGGTATTTAATCTGTCTTCATCTCGCCGATCTTCATGGCCCTGCTGATAACCCAGCTTTGAATGCTCTCCTCATTTGGTGTCTTTCACCCTGATCAGTCTGCTTTTCTTTGGACTTTTGGAGTCACGCAGACTTGAGTTTGAATCCTAGCTCTGTCATTTACTAGCTAAACAAGCTTGAGTTTAAGTTTTCTCAGCCTTCGATTTTAAGTCTGTAAAATGGGGATAATTATAGGACTAATCTCATAGAGTTGTTTGAAGATTGAGCAAACTAAATATGCGAAGATTTAGCATAGCCTCTGGCACATAATAAGTCCTTAAAAAATGGTAACTATTATTTTTTTCCTTCTTCCTCTCTCCTGCCTATTAGGATTCCTCAAGCTTCAGACCATCGCCCTCTACCTTTTTCCACGTATACCCATTTAGAGTATATTGAACCTCATAGCTTTAGCCAGCACATTCTTTGATGGTGCACAAATCTTCATCTCCATCGTGGCCTTCTTGTTGGAGCATCTGTCATGCACATTTTTGACTGACATCAGGACACTGCATATGAAATATTCACCTGCTCATTATCTAACCGTCCCCACATTAGTGTGCCCTTCCAATTTCCTCGTTTCCATCAGTGGCACCCCTATTTGGCCTTGATCTCAGGCTTTCAAGTTGCATTCTTTACTCCCCATATCTGTTAATCATTAAGCCCCACTTCAGCCCTTCTCACAGCTTCAGTTACCGTTCGTTCTCATGACTGACAATGAAGCCATCTGGTGCACTCCCGTTCAGCCTCCTCACTGCTCTCTGCCCTTAATATCCTTGTTTTCTCCTTTGTGCTTTTGCTCATGGTGCTCAAGGGACACTTGATGATCTTTAAGTTAGTCTCTTATTATTTACTGACTTATATTGCTCTCTAACTCTTTGAAATATCTATGTCTTTCTCTTCAACTAGGTTGTGAACTCCTTGAAGACAAAAAAAACAGGTGATAAACTTCTCAGAATCACTGTCATAGTGCTAAACACAGTGCTCAATAAACACTTCGCAATGGAATGAATTGATTGACTATAACCCTTTCTTGTTAAGAATACTATAATAGCTTCCTATTGCCTAAGTCAATCCCAAGCTCTTCAGACTGGCATTCCAGGTGTACTGTCAGCTGGCTCCATCTCACCTGCTTCTAACTTTAGCTCTTCCCTGACATGGGCCCTCCATTCATGTGACCTTGGTGTACACACACACACACACATTTACTTAACTGGATATTAAAATGATAATCTTTCTGTCTCAGTTTTGTCTGAGGCCCCAAGATATTAGGTACTTACCACCCTACGCTGAAAAATGCAAGGCTAGACCACCTATGAAGGACTTGTAAAGGGCTGGGGAAAACCAGTTGCATGACCTTTTGCCCAATAACAGTGGGTTGAGGTTGAGAAGGACCAGGAAATTAGGAAGAAAAGTTCACTGGAAAAAGTGTTTAAGTGCAGAGGCATTCCTCCCTTTTAATGGTGGGGGAGGAAGCTTCCTCCTCATCTCACGTGCAGTGAGGGGGCTTTAAGAGGACTTCGCAGAGAGCTTGATATATGTTCTCTGAAGTTTCGAGGGAAAAATGGAACCAATGCGTAACTCATGATGAGAAAATTTAAAGGAGAAAGTGTGTGGCTGGAACTGCTTGTCTGGTGGTAAAGGAAAGAAAGGTGACTAAAGTGGGAGTCAAGAGTGCTTTTGCTGGGGGCCGGCCCAGTGGCGCAAGAGGTTAAGTGTGCGCGCTCTGCTGCAGCGGCCCAGGGTTCGCCGGTTCGGATCCCGGACGCGCACTGACGCACCGCTTGGCAAGCCATGCTGTGGCGGCATCCCATATAAGGTGGAGGAAGATGGGCACGGATGTTAGCCTAGGGCCAGTCTTCCTCAGCAAAGAAAGAGGAGGATTGGCAGATGTTAGCATAGGGCTGATCTCCTCACACACACACAAAAAGAGTGCTTTATGCTGACGATGGGACAGAGGTGCAGGTTCCCCATGGACAGTTGTGGGTCACATTGGAGAGCCAACTGGGTCAGTTTGAAATAAAAATAGGCCACACCCAAAGGACTTCCAGAGATAGGGCCATCTTGGCAGAAAGAAACTGGAGGTATCCTAGTGAACACAGAAGCTGCTGGGGAGGAGTGAGGGTTGTAAGGGACCAATCTGAGGAGAGGCATTGCCCTTGTCTAGAGATTCTGGCTATTCCAAATTGGGCAGCATGCTGTAGAACCACAAAATCTCACGAGGGGAAGAGACCAGCACAGAGGGCACCAATATGAAGTCATGTTGGTACCGGTCAACCAAGACCTTTGCTTCCCCTTTCTCCTCCCTCTCCCGTCCAAACCCAGAGCAGTCTAGGGGCAGGTAGGAGGAGGAGAGGAGGAAAAGACAAGGTAGGGAAATAGAAAAGCCCACTGAAATGTTTTTTCTCACACCAACCAATTCTCCATACACCAACTGGGTGTCCAACAACTCATTTAAATTCTGACGCTAGCTACCTGGAGTTAGAGTCAGACTTCACGGGTTAAGGGCTCAGTCCCACAAGATCCCACTTCAGATGCTAGCCACAAATGGGGTACCCAAGCTACTCACATTTCTACCAGGCTGACTCAAACTTGGGGGATTCCTACAACTCCCTCTTAGGGTTCCATAACTTGCTAAACAACTCGCAGAACTTGGGAAAGCGCTTTACTTAACTGGTAGTGGTTTATTATAAAGGATACAACTGAGGTATGCATAGGGCAAGGTATGAAGGTGGTGCACAGAGCTACGATGCCCTCTCTGGCCATGTCACCCTCCCAGCACTTTGATGTGTTCACCAACCTGGAAGGTCCCCAAATCCCACCTTTTAAGGGTTTTTGTGGAGGTTTCATTACCTAGGCATGATTGATGAAATCATTGGCCATTGATGATTAAACTCAATCTCCAGCCCCTCTCCCCTTCCCTGGAGGTGGGAGGTGAGGTGTGTAAAAGTTCCAACCCTCTAATTTAGGCTTGGTCTTTCCGGTAACCAGCCCACATCTTCAAGCTATCTCAGGGCCCCAGCAAGAGTCACCTCATTAGCAAAATTGAAATGGTTAAAAGGGGCTCATTATGAATAACAAAAGACACTCCTATCACTAAGAAATTCCAAGGGTTTAAGGAGCTCTGTGCCAGGAACCAGGGACAAATACGAAATACAAATTTCCTATTATACCACACCCATAATACCTCCTTTTCCACTGCAGCTTGAAGCAGGCCCGGGCAATGGGAGAGGAGAAACTTTTAATTTAAATAAAATTTGGAGTTCAATTATTCAGCTAAAATGGACATTTTTGTTACTGAGATGACATTGTTCTTGTGTCTAGAATGACTGAATGACTTTTTATTATTAAACATTAGAAACAGGTGTGGGTCCTGCCTGAGGAATCATGCCAGGAATGGAGAAGGGTTCCAGGGAATGGGTTTGTGTGGGCAGGAGAAAGGGAAATAATAAAGCTGTTTCTTTGTTGTGCCCCTTGAAGTACCTCTCTTTCAACCTAACTGTTACATTTGCTGGTGCTGCACATGTAGATAGGCGCATAAGGCATGAGTGCACGCACACAACGCACACACTCACACACCTTTCTACATCTAGGATCTAGAGTTGAATTCATCTCCTCCAATAAATCTTTCCCGGTTAGCCCCAACTCACACAGCTCTCCCTCTTGGAATTTCTGTAATTCCTATTTTTAAAACCATATAATCCAGCACTTAAATATATGGACCAACCTTATATCTCCATTGGTCTTCATGTATGTGTCTTTACCCCTCATTCTTATAGTAAGCCTCTCACCAGAAGCCAATGTGTTTTACTTTTTGGGTATGTCTCATATATCCTTCCATTGTCACTTAATAAACTCTGCATGATTGATTGATCAGGTAGGCTCAAGATCCATCATGGCTATGTCAAAGGTTGGTTAAACCTCCAATGTAGGGGCCGGCCCGGTGGCACAAGTGGTTAAGTGCACGAGCTCCACTGCCGCGGCCCGGGGTTCACCGGTTCGGATCCCAGGCACGCCCCAATGCACTGCTTGGCAAGCCATGCTGTGGCGGCATCCCATATAAAGCAGAGGAAGATGGGCATGGATGTTAGCCCGGGACCAGTCTTCCTCAGCAAAAAGAGGAGGATTGGCAGATGTTAGCTCAGGGCCGATCTTCCTCACACACACACAAAAATAATAATAATAACTTAAAAAAAGAAAAACCTCCAATGTGGTCTAAAATCTAAAGCTAAATCTTTCTGTCTCTTGAAGGAAATGCTGGCCACCTTGACTCAGCTTTCCAGTTTTTTTGGTTGGTCAATGAACTGTTGAACAGAGTGTGCTAACGAAATAACTAAATTTCATGCCGTCTTTAATTTTTTGATGAAAGTTAAAATTCCAGTGAGCGTGTGGTATGTGACATCAGTCCTCTTCAGGCATTATACTGTGTGGACATCTTTGGTTAACTTACATGTTACTCAGTTGTTTACTTACCTCGTAGTCACCAGTAGACCAAAATTCTTACTAATATTCAACTCTTTGATAATAAAATTTTCCATAGAGCTGGAAGAGTTTCCCAGGCAGCTGGAAGTGTATTCTGAGACCAGCCTATCTCAAAATTGCTTCAATTATGGGTAGGACATGCATTTCATCAGCCTCCCACCTTTTCGTTAGCACCTCTTTTTCACTCATTTCCGGACAGTGAAGGAAATTAGTCTGATTTTATTAATCCTCCTATCCGCCATGGGGGCTGGCAGTGTGTTTGACTCCTCAAAGGCGTGAGACTTCTCCAAGGCATTTCAGAGCTCCAGGAGCCTTGTATGTCAGTGAATTCTTGATGTCTCTTTGAGCAGAATAAATGAATCATATATGTACATTGAACAAACGAAACTCTATTCTTCTTCTGCAGGTGATACAGGCTTGCCATTCATACCCCAGAGCAATCGAAGTTGTAGTCAACGCCTATGAACACATCAAGTGGAACGTAAAGTGGAAAAGAGCTATCCCTGATGATGACTTGGAGGTAAAGAGTCAATTCACTTCCTATTGTTTTCACTATAAAGTACTTCAAGACTGCAACGGAAGTGCAGAAAATTCTAATTCAAAACATTGGTTTTGAGAATGCTTTTAAGACCTACTCAGATACAACCAGACAAAGGGTTATAAAATGCAGGTGTGGAGTAAATAGATGCATCGAGTATGTAGCGCTTGGGAGTGTCTTGGGGATTTCTCCATTTAAGAGCGAGTTGAACAAGTATGTAAAGGTGGCAGTTTTACTTTCTTGCCGTCAGTTTTGATGAATTAATAATAATAATATTTGGGATTGCTCCTACAGAGTTTTTACCAGAAGATTAAAGTGTTCCATGTAGATTGTTTCCTTTACTTTTAAATATCTTCAAGCCATTAGTAGCAGGAAACAGAGTATTAAAAACCGTGTGATGGGTCATACAGAGAGCCACTGGCAAAGCTGAGTCCTCACTCCATATATGGACTTTACTGCCTTTGTAAACCAGTCCTTCCACAGAACCCCCTCTTCTCGGGTTTAGCAGTCATGGGCTGTCTCCAACATGTGGAGAGGTATCAGGCACACAGTGCAAAACTCTTTGGTCTTAGAGGCTGATGGCTTAGATGGAATCTTATTCTGCTGCTTATTAGCTATCTTACCTTTAAAAAGTTACTTAACCCGCCTTAGCTTATTGATTGATTAAATATCTGAATGTGTGAGTGACACCAGGCACATAAAGGGTGTACAATAATATTTAGATTAATTTCAAATTGCTGTTTTGGTTTACAGGTCCGGGCAGCTCACATAAGTGTATTTTATCTCATTTCCTGGGTCCTGAATTGTAATATAAAGTCTCGTAGCCCCTCCTCTCTCTTCCCTCCTTACATACCACCCCCTCAGCTCTCTATCTCAATTTTAAGTCTAATTTTGTCTCACTATCAGAGACCCTAGAAAGCTGCCATTATGTATGAAGTTGGGCTTAGATGCATCATTGTTGATTTCTATTGATGTAAACTGTGGGACTTTTCTGACTTTATCCTATCTTGCCTTCCTTTTCAGAGATACTGGGATTTTTACCACTCTCTCTTCACCGTGTGCAGTAACTCTCCAAGGACTCTCATGCATCTATCGAGATGCGCCATTCGAAAAACGCTACACAGCAGATGTCACAGAGTAATTCCTTTGCTTTCCCTCCCATTGTCATTGAAAAAGTACTTGCTTTTAGAGCCAGAGGGAATCATTTATTAAGCCTTATGAGACAGAAGCTCTCAATCCTAGATATTTAAGTGGACTCGCTGGGTAGACACAGTTTGCATAAATAAAATGGTACTTGGATTGATTATAACACTTCAGGGATTTTAAAACACTTTACAAACACGATGTCATTAATCCTAGGGTATCATGGTGAGGGGAAATAAACAAGAAGTAAAGTTAAGCATTCTTAGAGACAGGAATGTATCCAGAAGGTACTGACATAACAATAATAACTAATATGTATAGTGCACTTACTAAGTGCCTAATATATTTTTGTAAAAATTTTCATATATTATCTCATTTGAAAGGGGACCCAGGTTTTCTTACAACCAATCTCATTCGCTCCCTTATCAGTAATAAGTTTACATTGCTGTTCAGTTGGCAAAATAGCAGCCTTTGTGATTGGCCTCTTAATCTTGGCGTCTTTCCCCCATTCCCACTTCGCAGAAATTACTGTTGCTAGTTTTGCAAACTCCTATTCCCATACCAAGCTCCTCAACATATTTTGGTGAAGAAAGCACATGAGCATTGTCAAAACAAGGAGATCTTTGAGATGAAATGAAAACAAAGACCAGTCCACTTAAGCGTCGAAAACGGACATTTCAACACACTTTCATTGAGCCAGAGACTGGAGATGCAACGATGAGTCTGCAGCGACTCCTGCCCTCCAGGATCTCACCATTTTGCAGAGGATCCGGACACACAAGCAGGGAACTGCCATGTCAGATGTCAGGGGCAAGAGTACAGGTGCAGACTCATTCTTAGTGCTTGCCTTTCCAAGTCGTGTTTCTAACACGAAGTATGCTTTTCTTTTAAGCACGAAGATGAAGAGTGAAGGGCTTGTGTGAAGTAGAGGGATCTCCTGCTATGAGTGCACATGTATTCACTTTAAGTTTCTCCGCACCTCTAGGTGTTGTTTTATTTTAGTATGATTTCCTGTTTAGTGCTTTCCCAGACTCCTTGGGGAAAATATTGCACACCCAATGGCTCCCACGTATGTGACAAGGACATTTAAAAAAACAAGGAAGTGTGTGAAGGGAAAGACGTAAGTTGATGACATGGGTCTTTTTATGTAACAGACTGACATTTCGGAGCATTTGAACCAGAAGATAAGTAGCAGTTGGCTAGCAATGGCTGGCTACAGAAAGCGAATAGAAAGACGTTTTGAAAATGGTAAAAGTTTGAGAGACTTGGGAGGATAAGTATGTTAGTCAGGCTTGTTTGCAGAAAGAGAAATGTAGATGATTAACCTCTGGACCTCATGGCTTATGAGGGCAACTTTGCTTCACTTTTTTGTTCTTGTTAATCACTTTTAGATAAGCTCGTTGCCTCTTAACATCGCTTTCTAGAGGTAATTAACGGCACCAGTAATTAAGCACAAACAAATCTACTTGCCGGTTGTGAGCAGGTTTCTTTTATTTGTGTGGTTCTCAATCTTATTTAACTTTAAATGCTTGAGTTTTGAGTAGAGATGATGTCCAATATTCCACGAGCTTGCCACCTAGTCTGTGCTAAACTGGGATTCTCATACTCTTGGTGCTGGGTGGGAAAAATCATAGGTGGATAATCTTTCTGAAGCATCAATTTTAGTCAAATGTTTTGGGAGAAATATTTTGTACTAAAACAAGATCTATATTATGGAATAGAATATTGTAGTTATATGAATTATTCATATAAAACATGATCCTTCAAAAAATAGTTTGCTTGTGAGAAGTTGTTAGAACAGATCCTAGAATGCTGGACAGAGGTATATGCTGCCTTCCACCTTCAGGTACATTCTGGCAGAAAAGTTTGTGATGCACTAATAAAACTGATGCTGGGGACAAAGGGAGTGGATGTTCCTTGCATGGGAAAATATTGTTTCTCAGTCTGCTTGTTTGTGCTTAAACATTTTGTGTTAATCTAGGATATAATACCTGACTACTTGTTCTGAATTGTTTATTCATGGATTTAAAGTTATTTTTCCCTATCTTTGAATTTTTATTTAGAGGACTTAAATAAAGCTCTTCTATTTTATTTCATCTTTGTGCGTTATTTATTTACCAATAAGACTTTTTCCTAACTGACTTTTCAACAGTTAGGAAAAAGGCTGAAGAACTGAAGAGCTCTACACATTTCGTTCCTTCCTTTAACATTTAAAGAAAAAGAGAATAATGAAATGTGCCTGTAAATAAATAATATTTTCAGAAGAAAGTAAAGGGTAAACACAAATAAAATGCAGGCTATTGCTATAGGAACAAGAGTGTTTTAATAAAGAAATTGTACTGAATCATTCTCTTCTGCCTACCACCACCTCTGTCCTCCTAGGATTTTCATTTTCCTTCATGCACACAACCCTGGGCAAAAGCAACAGAGGAAATTATATCCTCATGATATCTTTGTTACTTTCCGTAAATAGACACATAATGGCCTGAAAAAAAAAATGTCCTCTCTCCTGTAAGTTACGTGTGAGGAAGGATCTTTGATTTGAGGAAAAGGCCACCTTACCAGTTTTCTCTCCTTCTCAGGATCTAGACACACTCATGTTCTGTTTTTTATTTTTTATTTTATTTTTTTATTTTTGTGAGGAAGATCGGCCTTGAGCTAACATCTGCCTGTCCTCCTCCTTTTTTTCTGGGAAAGACTGGCCCTGGGCTAACATCCATGCCCATCTTCCTCTACTTTATACGGGACGCTGCCACAGCATGGCCTGACAAGCGGTGCGTCGGTGGGTGCCCGGGATCCGAACCGGCAAACTCCGGGCCACTGCAGCGGAGTGCGCGCACTTAACCGCTTGCGCCACTGGGCCAACCCTGCGTTCTGTTTTTTTAATCACCAAGTGTTAGTCCTTCCATCGTGAACCCAGTGGCTTCTAATAAAAAACACAGCAGTGAAAAGCTGATTGTAGTGATAAGAAAAGTAACAAACCATTTGCAGTATTTTGGAAAAAACTGCTAAACCTTATATTTTTGTGCCTCATCTGATTGTGAAGAACTCATGAAGTTTTAAACTGGCACACTTTCAAAGCTTTTTGAAAAGAATCCAATTATTCACTGTTTTTCTTTGAAACACAGACACCATAGCTAGTAGCTAGAAGGAATTCATCCTCGCTTTCTTTAGGAGTATAAACAGATGCATTACAGTTAGATGTTAAGAGTTTTGGCCCTGGTGCCTGTTTATCTGGGTTTATATCTTGATTCCCAACCTTATTTGACCCATTATCTAGGGAAAATGACACACTTATTCCATGCCTCAGTTTCCTTATTTGTGATATGGGAATAAAAATGAGACCTACCTCATAAGAATTTTATATGATTGTTTTGAGGTGTAGGAGAGGAATAAGTTTTCCTTAACCCTCTCAGGGTCCCTGGCTGGGTCTGAAAGTTAAACTGACAAAGACAGATTACAGGAGAAAAGCATACAAATTTATTTAGTATAAATGACATGATTTATTTAATATAAACACATGACACAGAAGCCTTCATAAGAAAATGAAGACCTGAAGAAACAGTTAGACCTGAGTATTTTTATGCTCGGTTTGATGAAGAGTAAGCAACGTCAAAATTTGATAGGTCTTTAAGGAGTTTGATGTAATTGTAGTAAAATGGGGAAAACGAAGCAAGGCCCATTTGTTAGGATTCTTCCTCAGTGTGCTTTTGTCTTAAGAGGTAAGGATGCTCCTTTCCTCCAGGTATAGGGAGGGCGCAGGAGAGTTTTATGACCTGTTTCAGGAGAGAAGGTGGAGAGTAGATCAGAGAGACCGTACTGCTTCTGCTATTTCCTCAAATTCCTTCAGCTTACAATATTCAATACGGGGGCCGGCCCAGTGGCATAGCGGTTAAGTGCGCTCGCTCTGCTGCGGCGGCCTGGGGTTCGGATCCCGGGCATGCACTGAGGCACCATTTGTCAAGCCATGCTGTGGCGGCGTCCCATATAAAGTGGAGGAAGATGGGCACGGATGTTAGCCCAGGGCCAGTCTTCCTCAGCAAAAAGAGGAGGATTGGCAGATGTTAGCTCAGGGCTGATCTTCCTCAAAAAAAAAATCAAAAAAAAATTCAATATGCCAAGGTGTCATATTTTGGGGTAGCATGTGTTAAACCCCATCAGAGGGTTAAATTGTTAATACATGAAAGCACATAAAACAGAGCATGACATTTAGTAAGCATTTTATTGTTATTATTGTCCTTATTATTACCATCATCACTATTATTTAGGGAGAGGTTTCTACCAGTGGGGTAATATATTCTTAGAGTGAAGCTATAGCTGAAGGTGACACATGGTAGATTTCTGTTCACTTTGGGAAATATTTATTAAGCTCCTACTATGTGCCAGGCACTTTGCTGATGGCTGGAATCAATGGGGGAACAAGACATACCACGCCCCTGATCTTGGGCTTTTTGAGGTGGGAAATGGAAGTGGAAGTAACATTGATTTGGAGGATTAGCAAACAAGTAAATTGATTAATTTTGGAAACTTTGCCCTTTGTAAGTGGGTTTATCAAGGATGCAATGACTCCTTTCACTATTTCATGAAGGCTGTGGAGTCACTTGAAAATTTATTGTGTGGACAGAGAGGGTTGATCAGCTGTTTCCATCTCCAATGAGGGAAGGAGTAGGAGGAGATTAACTTTGTAGAGAGATTCCTAGCAGTGAGGGTTATTGCACATCAGAATGAATGAATGAGGAGGGCTGGAGGACTTCATTCAATTATTCTTTCACCTTCAAGAATTTATTCAGTACTAATACATGTGTGGCTCTGTGCAAAATGTGAAAGGAAGAAGGGAGTGCTGATACCAAGTCATTGCAAGATTCACTTTCAGTGGCTCAAAGTTTTTGTTTGTTTTTACTAAGAAGTAAGAACAAAAAGTACATAGTGGGTTTTTAAAAAAAAATTAGATACCAAATAACTGAGCTATTTTTCTGTCAGCTTGCCATAAAATGGTTGATTAGAAATGATTTTCAAAATCTATATTTCAGTGATAAATTGCCTTCTTCGTATGTTTGGTCACACTTGTCACCAAGGAGAAGCAATGCATGAAATATGCAAAAATATCCTCCAAGAAATAGTTGCTTGCTTTCTTTTCATTTTCTTTTTATTTTTTTAGTGACACCAAGTGGATTAAGTGTGCTTAAATTTCTTCTTTAGTAATTGGTTTTCTCAGATAGAGGTATGCCTCAATGATATTGGGTAACAACTACGCAAATATACGCTAATCCAGCCAAGGAAATAAAATAATGATGCCATCTTGTACTCCTAAATTAAAAACATTGGTGGATTAGTTCTTAGTGCTTATCA